AAAAAAAAAAAAAAAAAAACCCTTTTCTGCTTATACAATTGCCAGGATTTTGGGTTGGTTTGTGTCTGGGTGGTGGTTGTGGTTGTTAGTGGTGACACCAAGCTCAGGTTTGGCACCGCACACTGCTGGCTAAATGAGGAAAAAATATTTGATAACCTACCAATAACCTGTAAAATGTGTATCTCCTTTGACCCATTAATTCCATTTCTCAGGAGTTTGCCCTTTAAGAAGTCAGATACAGATTTATATATAAGGGGTCACTTTAATATCATTTGTGTTGGGTTTTTTATTTGTTTTCTAAGATGGAGTCTCACTCTGTTGCCCAGACTAGAGTGCAGTAGTGCAGTCTCAGCTCACTGCAACCTGTGCCTCCTGGGTTCAAACGATTTTCCTGCCTCAGGCTCCCGAGTAGCTGGGATTATAGGCACATATTCCACGCCCAGCTAATTTTTGTTTTGTTTTGTGTTTTATTTTGTTTTTTGTTTTGTTTGAGACGGAGTCTTGCTCTGTCACCCAGATTGGAGTGCAGTGGCACGATCTCAGCTCACAACAACCTCTGCCTCCCAGGTTCAAGCAATTCTCCTGCCTCAGCTTCCCAAGTAGCTGGGATTATGGGTGCCCGCCACCACGCCCAACTAATTTTGTTTTTTTTTTGAGAGAGTCTCACTCTGTGGCCCAGGCTGGAGTGCAGTGACGTGATCTCGGCTCAGTGCAAGCTCCGCCTCCCGGGTTCACGCCATTCTCCTGTCTCAGCCTCCCAAGTAGCTTTGACTACAAGCACCCGCCACCACGCCCGGCTAGCTTTTTATATTTTTAGTAGAGATGGGGTTTCACTGTGTTAGTCAGAATAGTCTGGATCTCTTGACCTCGTGATTCGCCCTCCTCGGCCTCCCAAAGTGCTGGGATTACAGGCGTGAGCCACCATACCAGCCTAATTTTTGTATTTTTAGTAGACATGGAGTTTCACCGTGTTGGCCAGGCTGGTCTTGAACCCCTGACCTCATGATCTGCCCACCTCAGCCTCCCAAAGTGCTGGGATTATAGGCATGAGCCATTGTGTCCAGCCTAATTTTTATATTTTTAATAGAGACGGGGTTTCACCATGTTGGCCAGGCTGGTCTGGAACTCCCGACCTCAACTTCTCCGCCTGCCTCGACCTCACAAAGTGCTGAGATTGCAGGCGTAAGCCACCGTGCCCGGGCTTATTTCATAAATATTTATTATGAACCTACTAGTATGTCGGCACTACAGATAGTATTAGACACCATCCCTGTCCCTCCCAGAGCTGACAGCGTAGTTGGGAAGATGGAAATTAAGTAAGTAATGACACCCACAAAAAGTAACTGCCATTCTGGTTCAGGAGAAGCCTGGGTGTCCCTGAGTAACAGACTCTGGCGCCAAGACTGTTTGTGGAGAGAGCTCTGCTCATCCCTGCGATGATGGGTTTTGTGAGTGGTCTGTTTTCCCCTATAGGACCCTTTGTTTCTCAGGTGATCCTGAGCCAGGTACGAGATCAGTAGTCTCCCCCACTGCTGTCACCCACATGGCATTGCTGTGAAGCGGAAGGTGGCCCGAGAGTTGCTAATATCTCTGTGATTTCAGCCGCCAAGCTGAGCCACCAAAGAAGGAGGCCGCCACTGCGGGGCCGCAGGTGAAGCGAGCAGATGAGTGGAAGGACCCTTGGCGCCGATCCAAGTCTCCCAAGAAGAAACTCGGGGTGTCGGTCTCCCCGAGCCGGGCTCGAAGGCGTCGGAAAACATCAGCCTCGTCGGCCTCTGCCTCTAACTCCTCCAGGTAAGGAGGGCTTCTGGGACGGCTGGGGTGTCAGCACCTCGGAGCCGTCAGCTGAACACTGTGTACCTCACTGGGTCAGGTGGGGAACACCACAGCCCCACTGTTTGCTGTGGGGTCATTGCCTGAAGGCCAGTCAGTGGAACTAACCCGGCATTTATACATTCAGCAAAGAGCATCAATGCCAAGTAGGACTGATGCAGTGACCCCAAATGGGGCACAGACACCGGCGACTGAGCCCGACTGCTCCCAGGGAGTCCTGGGCTACACTGGAGGGAGGGGCATCTGGATGCGGGAGGATGCACAGACCTGGGGCCCAGTGAGTCCATCTGTTCCTCCAGACTGGACCTGAAGCTGTGCCCCTCCACGTACAGTCCTGGTCTCAGCACACAGGAGCCTGGCTCCCGAGGGAGGGATGATGGAAAGCAGGGGACTAGGGTGGACCCCATGGTGTTCGGCAGGAACAGGAGGTGTGGGTGGGAGGCCAGGCTTCACAGTGGGTGCAGAGGGACAGATAGACACACACACAGACGCACGTGAGCTGGGTCAGCGCACACATCCTGGCTCTGTCCACTCAGGCAGCGACACCCAGTAACAGCAGGCACACCCCATGCCCAGGTCTTGATTTCTAAATGCTGTTCTCCACTGAGGAGGGGTGGGAGTGTCTGAGGGAGGCTGTATGCATCTGTGCGCATGTGGGTAGCTGTGTGTCTGCGCGTGTGTGGCTGTGCGTCTGTGCACGTGTGTGGCTGTGCGTCTGTGTGCGCGTGTGCAGCTGTATGCATGTGTGTAGCTGTGCATCTGCGCCTGCGTAGCTGTGTGTGTGCACGCATGTACACCTTGCACATGTATAGCTGTGCGTCTGTGCGTGTGTGTAGCTGTGATTCTGTGGGTGTGTAGCTGTGCATGTATACGTCTGTGCATCTGTGCGCATATGTAGCTGTGTATCTGTGGGTGTGTAGCTGCGCATGTGTACATCTGTGCACATGTGTGCGTCTGTGCACGTGTGCGTAGCTGTGCGTTCAGGTCTGTGCCAAAGAGCAGCAGGTCAGCAGAGGGCGTGCGGGGCAGGGAGGGCCCTTCTCACTTCTCACCACTCTCCCTCCCGCCCACCCCAGGTCATCTTCACGGTCATCGTCCTACTCCGGCTCCGGCTCCTCCCGGTCACGATCCCGGTCTTCATCCTACAGCTCCTACTCCAGCCGCTCTTCCAGACACAGCTCGTTCTCAGGAAGCCGGTCCAGGTACGTCCCCGGGACCCATGCAGGGCCCTCGGCTGGTGCAGGGAGCATGGGCACCTGCAGATGTGGCTTTAGTTGTGGCACCAATAGTCCCTTGGGGTATTGAAAGTCCCTGCTGGCAGCTGAACTAGGATGGCCAGGGGCTCATGTCCTGTGTCCCCCACCAAACACCAGCCTTGTGGGCCCTCGTCCTTGTGTAGATGTGTGCTGTCACTGAGGGCCACAGCCTGAGATCCTCGAGTTGAGGCATTCCAGTCCTCCAGGGACAGTCCTCCAGGAAGGGGCCAGACTCAGCCCTGTCCTGCGGGTGTTTCTGTGGGAGCTGCTCTGCTGCCCCACTGCCAAGGGACCTGTGCCCTCCCGTCCTGCACACACGTGAACGTGGCACCTGCCTCCTGGAGGGCCCGCCAGGGGCTGCTGACACCTTCCACACTCCACGGTCTACTCTGGGCCTGTGTGTTTAGCAGATGCCAGAACAGTCCAGAACTGAAGTTAAACCTGAGGCACATAAATGGAAATTCATGGCCTTCTCCATGGGTCTGGGTGGGTCGGTCCTCAGTGGGCTTGGGCTGGTGAAGAAACACCCCCAGGCCTCTTCTCACACCTTTGTTCACTCCCCCAGGTCCCGGTCCTTCTCTTCGTCCCCGTCCCCATCCCCAACACCTTCCCCACATAGACCTTCCATCAGAACCAAGGGAGAGCCGGCCCCGCCGCCCGGGAAAGCAGGGTGAGTGCCCAGCCTGTGGACAAGTCCTGGCCAGCCAGGCCTCCAGAGGCTGCAGCCTCCTCCCTCCGTCTCTATCTCTCATTTGTGTTTGGGACCAAAGAGGTGAGGATGCCTCGGGGGGCTGTTCCCAGAGGGTGACTGGGCTGAGGGGGCACTGGGCACAGCCCCTGTTCTCCCGGGCCGCCCTTACACTGCAGCACTCCCCCGGGAGCCCTGGGGACGAAGCACAGCCCTGGGGACTTGGCAGCAGCCGGGTGTTCTCAGGGCTCTTCGTGTTAGCCTGCTCTCCCCACTGTCTGGCGGTGCCTGTAGCTCTTGCCTGTTAGAGGGGAGCCCTGAAGGGCTGCTGAGGGCTTCGAAGCCATTCCCAAGCACTCTGACGCTGACGGGTGGGAACGGTGTCCAGGCATGAGCGTGCTCACTTAGCGTCACAAGCATGCGGTGTCGTTCCCCGAGGTGTGGGTACATTTAAAGAGGACGTAGGCCAGCGGGGCCTCATCCACCAGCCCTGCCCTGCTCGAGCCTCCCTGTCTCACAGAGAGAAGTCAGTGAAGAAGCCGGCCCTGCCTCCAGCCCCACCACAGGCCACCAAAACCACGACTCCTGTCCCCGAGCCCACCAAGCCAGGAGACCCTCGGGAAGCCAGGAGGAAGGAGCGGCCAGCCAGGACCCCCCCCAGGAGGTGAGCATTTCGGTGTCCATGGGCCTTTGGGCTTTCCATGTTCTTGGTGCCACTGTGATGCTGGCACTGCTGGAAATCCAGAGTGCCAGGGTCCAGAGCCAGGTGGTGGGAGGCACCCCCCAGCCAAGCAGCAGCACCCAGTGAGCCCTTACCCGGGAACCTGTCCTGTCCCCTCCCTGAGTGTGTGTTTCTGGAGCGTGAAGGAGAAAGGACAGCTTGGCAGGGAGCAGAGGCCTTCCCCTCACCGCCCCTGTCTACACTGGGAGGTGCTGCCCTGAGAGACTGCACTTTTTATCCTGACAAAACACTGTGCCTAAAGGAAGACAGGCCCAGGCCCTGTTCCAAGGCGGTGGCAAGGCCAGTCTGGAGCCTCGCCTCACAGGGCTGCTGGGCTGCTGGGCTGCTGGTGGGGAGAGGAGGCCATGAGGGGCTGCGGAGGCCACGCCCCCTGAGCCCAGCTGTTGCTTGTATTACAGGCGGACACTCAGCGGCAGCGGCAGCGGCAGTGGCAGCAGCTATAGTGGTTCCAGCTCCCGATCCAGGTCGTCCCCATCACCCTTTGCCTCTGTTTCTCCCTCCCCTTTGGGGCCAGGAAGTCCCCCGAAAAAGCCAGCTTGTGGGTTGGGCTGTCTCCCACAGGCAGGCTTGGGGCCCTTCTGGGTCTGAGTCACCTTGGGGCTGTGGAAGGCTGTGGTCGAAATTTTGACACGGGAGAAAATGGGCCAGGATTCATGTGATAGGGAGACCCCCCCTTCCCCCACAAAAACAGCTTCACAAACTCGAGGGCACTCAGGTCAGGAGGAGGTGCCTCTGCCCTGCTGACTTGATGCCTCAGCACCTAGGAGAGCACCTGCACCTGGGGAGGAGCCACAGAGGCCGGGCCTGCACGGCCTGTCACAGCTATCAAGGGAACCAGCCGGAGGGGTGGGGAAGCCGATAAAAAACATCTCAGAAGAGAATACACGGAAAAGCTTTGTGGGCCGGGCGCGGGGGCTCACACCTGTGATCCCAGCACTGTGGGAGGCCAAGGCAGGAGGATTGCTTGAGCCCAGGACTTGAGACCAGCCTGAGCAACACAGACCCCATCTCCACAGAAAAAAAATATATATATATATGTATTTTTGAGACAGTTTCATTCTTGTTGCCCAGGTTGGAGTGCAATCCCGCAGTCTCGCAACCTCCGCCTCCTGGGTAGCTGGGACTACAGGCGCATGCTGTCACACCCAGCTAATTTTTTGTATTTTAGTAGAGACAGGGTTTCACCGTGTTGCCCAGGTTGGTCTCAAAACTCCTGAGCTCAGGCAATCCACCCACCTCAGCCTCCCAAAGTGCTGGGATTACAGGCGTGAGCCACCACGCCCAGCCTAATTTTGTATTTTTAGTAGAGACTGGGTTTCACCATGTTGGTCAGGCTGATCTTGAACTCCTGACCCCAGGTGATCCATCCACCTCGGCCTCCCAAAGTACTGGGATTACAGGTGTGAGCCACTGCACCCAGCCTAATTTTGTATTTTTAGTAGAGACTAGGTTTCACCATGTTGGTCAGACTGATCTTGAACTGACCTCCACCAGTTCAAGGCCTCCCAAAGTGCTGGGATTACAGGTATGAGCCACCACGTCCAGCCCAGAAATTTTTTTTAATGAGCTGGGTATAGTGGTGTGTGCCTGTGGTCCCAGCTACTTGGGAGGTCAAGGTTGAGTGAGCTGTGATCACGCCACTGCATTCCAGCCTGGACAACAGAGATCCTGTCTCAAAAAAAAAGATTTCTGCTGTTTAGTTGTTTTGAAAGAAAGTATTAAATCAGTCCTTAGATTCCTCACATAGAACTCTTTCATTTCCAGGCAGCAGGTGGTTTATATGTTTGTCAAACTTTTTTTTTTTTTTTTTTTTTTTTTTTTTTGAGACAGTGTCTCGCTTCGTCGCCCAGGCTGGAGTGCAGTGGCCGGATCTCAGCTCACTGCAAGCTCCGCCTCCCGGGTTCACGCCATTCTCCTGCCTCAGCCTCCCGAGTAGCTGGGACTACAGACGCCCGCCACCACGCCCGGCTAATTTTTTGTATTTTTTTTAGTAGAGACGGGGTTTCACCGTGTTAGCCAAGATGGTCTCGATCTCCTGACCTTGTGATCCGCCCGTCTGGGCCTCCCAAAGTGCTGGGATTACAGGCTTGAGCCACCGCGCCCGGCCATCAAACTTTTTTTTCTGTTGTTTGTTTTGTTTCTGGAGAGACATGGTCTTGCTGTGTTGCCCAGGCTGGTCTCAAAACCCCTGGGCTCAGGTGATCCTCCCACCGTGGTCTCCCAAACTCCTGGGATTATAGGCGTGAGCCACCGCACCTGGCCTAAAATGTTTCTTGATAGGTCTGAGATGTTTTAAAAGACCTGACTTTTGAAAAAAAAAAATGGTTCTCTTACCTTCCCCCATTCCCTGCTGCGGTACCCAACGTGCCTGGGGGATGTGATTGGTGTTTTCCCGAGTAGCACATGGGCAGGGCGGACTCAGATGCCAGTCCTGTGCTCTGTGTCCGTGTTGAGTGCAAGCCAGTGGAGCTGCAGACCTGCTGTTTCCAGTCTGTCTGCTGCGTGTTCCTCAGGCATTCCCTGAGACTGTGCGGAACAGCTCGTTGTGTTTTAATTTCTCTGTGGGCTGAGGCTGTCACCCTTTTGTTGCGGGTGTCTAAGCCAGGGACTCTGCTTAAATTCCATCCTTGCCACTCTTGGCTCAGCTCAGTCCTGTTTCCCTTCCCAACAAGCAACCTGACATTCGTTTCGTTTGTCTTTGTTTTGAGACGGAGTTTCGCTCTTGTTGCTCAGGCTAGAGCACAGTCTTGGCTCACTGCAACCTCCACCTCCCGGGTTCAAGCAATTATTTTGCCTCAGTCTCTCCAGCAGCTGGGATTACTGGTGCCCGCGACCATGCCCGGCTAATTTCTGCATTTTTAGTAGAGACGGGGTTTCACCATGTTGGCCAGGCTGGTCCCGAACTCCTGACCTCAGGTGATCTGCCCATCTCAGTCTCCCAGAGTGCTGGGATGACAGGTGCGAGCCACCGCGCCCAGCCGCAACCTGACATTCATTAGTGAAATGGGGCCCTGGCCCAGCCATAGAGACGTCCCTTACTGTGTAACCCTGGAACTGCCCAGTGTCCCCCCAAAATCACACATTCCATGGGTACACGATCCATAAATGGACACTGGGTAAACGTGGACCATGGAACACCCCCCGCCGGCCCCTCCCTCCAGTCTGTGGTTGGACTGTGGTGAGATGTTCTCATGTGTCCAGGTCCCTGAGCGTGAGCAGTGTCTCCTCAGTGTCCAGTGCTACGTCGAGCAGCAGCTCTGCACACAGCGTGGACTCGGAGGACATGTACGCAGACCTGGCTAGCCCCGTGTCCTCAGCCAGCTCTCGGTCCCCAGCCCCAGCCCAGACCAGGAAGGAGAAAGGTATTCGGGAGCCCTGGTACCTTTAAGGAGTAGCTCCAGGGGGAGGAGGGTGGCATCAGCACAGACTTTGCCTGGCTGTCGGTGTGGCCCCGGGAAAATCACCAGTACCCCCATGACTGCAGATTTATCGTTGGTAGGAAAATCTAAGAAAGAAGACGGTGTTAAAGAGGAAAAGCGGAAAAGGGATTCGTCCACGCAACCACCTAAATCTGCAAAACCTCCAGCAGGGGGGAAGTCCTCCCAGCAGCCCTCGACCCCCCAGCAGGCACCCCCCGGGCAGCCCCAGCAGGGCACGTTTGTGGCCCACAAGGAGATCAAGTTGACACTGTTGAATAAGGTGAGGGCAAGGGCCCTGCTGGTGGCTCCCGCAGCGTCTGGGCCTGGGTCCATTTGCTTCCTGAGACAGCTTCCTCCTGGGGGACAGAACCTGAGTGAGGGCCAGTGGGGCCTTGCAGGTGTCAGCAGAGCCTGGGTGACAGAGCGAGACTCCATCTTCCCGGCCTGGGCCGGCAAGTGTGAGCATCTGGGGAGGTTCGGGTGCTGCCGGCCTCGCTCTGGACAGAGAGGGTGTTCTCTCTGTGCCTGTGGCCGCCATTCCCTACCAGCCAGTCTCAACACAATACAGGAAGCAAGCCTCGGTCCCTGTCCTCTGCCCTCAGCAGGACACATCGCTGTCCTCTGCTGGAAGGTTAAGAGGCCTGGTTTCAGGGGTCCCAAGTCCTAGAGTGGCCCCCATGGGGAGCAGGAAGGCCTTCAGGGTGCTTCCCATGGAACAGGAAGGGCCCCAAGTGCACAGTGGGGGTGCCCTTGGTCCGGGTCATGGAGGCCTCACTTGGGGCTACAGGGTCTCATGGGCATGTGGTGGGACCTTTGGGAGCAGAGCAGTTTGCTGGCAAGGAACCCATGTTGTCTGGGGTGAGGACACAGCTGCTGTCTCCTGGCCCTGCCATCCTCACCAGCCTCTCGGTTGTCCCAGGCGGCTGATAAAGGAAGCAGGAAGCGCTATGAACCATCAGACAAGGACAGGCAGAGCCCTCCTCCAGCCAAGCGGGCCAACACATCCCCAGACCGAGGTGAGCCTCCCAGCCCCTAGGGGGCAGGGCAGGGGGCGGGAGCCTGGGGATGCGGAGCAGCTGGACTCAGACCCCATCGCTCTTAACAAGCAGGAGGGCCCAGAAAACATCTGACTTGCAGATTATGCCTGTCAGTATTATGATATTGAAAACTAAAACTAAGAAAAATGTTTAAATGTTTGTTTAAAAGTAACAGGACCAGGCGTGGTGGCTCACGCCTGTAATCCCAGCACTTTGGGAGGCTGAGGCGGGCAGATCACTTGAGGTCAGGAGTTCGAGACCAGCCTGGCCAACCTGGTAAAACCCTGTCTCTACTAAAAATACAAAAATTAGGCCGGGCGCAGTGGCTTACGCCTGTAATCCCAGCACTTTGGGAGGCCGGGGCGGGCGGATCACAAGGTCAGGAGATTGAGACCGTCCTGGCTAACATGGTGAAACTCCGTCTCTACTAAAAAATACAAAAAACTAGCCAGGCGAGGTGGCAGGTGCCTGTAGTCCCAGCTACTCG